AGACTGGGCTGTCCTCAGATCCCCCGCCTAGAAGTTGTGTTTGTGTTAAATAGAACCCCAACCACTAAACCAACTTGAACCAAAGAAAGCGCATGGCTGGGAACAACCAAAAAAACCGATTGTTGATTGGTCAAGGCACCAAGACGAGGACAAATGTGTCTGCTTTTAGGGGACTCCATTCGGCGTTTCCATGTGCCAGGGTTCCATTTTGGGCACCTGGTTTTGACCCACACCCTTTTGGCGCAAAGCAAGAAAGCGGAAACGTGCTGTCTGGGGCGCAAGTGCTTCGTGAATAGCCGGCACGTCCCTGGCGTAGTCCCAGTCATCAAAGTGCTCGGGGGCTTTGATCAGCTTGCAGCCATCAATGTACTCCATAACCAGCAAGCGACGCGAACCTCGCGCCAGATATGCACTCAAGCAGCAAAAGAAAGGCACAAACCCCTGGCTTGGTATTCACTTTCTGAGCATGTCTTCATCTCGTCAAATATGGGTGCGTCCATTTTTGGGGGGACCTCCCCAAAACGGGTGGCGTTCCTTTTGGTTTCTCTATGAAACCAACCAAACAAGGGGTACCGCAATTCCACAACAAGACAAGCCTCAACCAGAGCGACCGCAGACCACCCAGCCGAGCTCCCGACAAAGCTCGGCATGGAGAATGGGCACTGCTAGGCGTCCTCGCAGCTCCTTCTTGGAATCCACAAACCTGAGGCATGGCCCCAAAGGGATCACCCAAGTTTGGAGTTGGCACCCGTGTTTGGTGGGTATTAAAAAAAAAGCAGTTTTCGGGGATCTTCGGGGAGATCCCGGAAAAGAGGACACCCCAAATCAAATTGCCGAAAGATGCCAAGTGCAACCACAACTCCCCCTGTAAATACCAACAACAATGGTTTCCCATGGTTTCGAAGTGGCTTCCATGATTTCGTCTATGGTGTCCCATGATCTCAAAGTGGTGCGAACGGATTTCAGCCAATCCAGTACGTTTCCAAAACTCTTGGGCATCCACGGACGGGGAACTCCCTACATCTGGGAGCTCGTCGAAAACCGGCCTCTGGCATTCTTCCTGCAGGTCTGCCTCCCAGCGGAAGTCAAGCTCCTAGCAACGGGTTGAGAAAAGCTGCTTTGGGGTTGGTGCACATGTCAAAACGTCAGCAAACTCCCTTCCAACCAATGCGAATTTATGGTGCACACATTGTGAGCCCCCCATGCTGGCCTTTGAAGGGAATGCATGTGAAAAAGTCATGGTGCTCCTTCTTCAGCTCTTCCATAGCCCATTCCATCATCCACTTCACCGGTGTGCCTTTCGCAGAATTTGTTCGCATCTGTGAAAGGCTGTGGTTCTGGAAACGAGCCCAACCTGCTGCACCAATCACAACAATAACAATGCTGCGTCTGATATGGCTGTGGCTCAAAACATGTATCAAAATGGCACCTTGGAAAATGGAACCATACCTCCTTCATTTTGAGCAACACCCCTGTGCCACACTCAGAACATGTTCGTCATGAGCTTCTTATAACCAGGAAGAGTCATTACAATGTTGGCTGGGCTCCACCTTCCCCCTCTAACCCATTTCACTCTAGAACACCCAGATGCCATGTTATAATTCTACACGACTGGTAGTGAAGCTCCTCCATATGTGTTGACATTGGAGCAATCATCCAACATGGGAGTGTCTTTTTTGAAACCAAAAGGAAAAGCCAATTGGGGGGTCCAAATCCTAGAAAACGACGGGCGCCGCCTAGAGGCCTCCAGAACATGCAGCTCCGCCAATCGATCCGGCCTGTGGCGCTCTCGTACATTCCAAGCAGGCCCAGGTAATCTTTCACATCCCTGTCAAAGCTTGCGGCAATGTTGCGTCGCAGGATCCTTAGTCAAATATCCAACCCAAACAAGAAAAACTGAGCTTTACACTCGAGCTCCAGGCAACCCAGGCGCTTTGCTGCCACTTTTTCCCCGGTTTTTCTGGTTGCCACGTGCACTTGAGCAATGGAAGCAGCATTGATGGGCTCTTCAGAAAAGGACTCGTACATGGCGTCGATGCCCCCAGGCGTGTGCTTCCTGACGCGCGACTCGACCTCGCTCCAGCTCTGTGGATCAGCGGAATCCTGAAGAGATTGGAACTCCTGCGGGAAATCTGGGCTCGGTTCTTGGCATGTCAGACACTTTCGGCCAAGAAAAGAGTGGGAAACTTCATGGCAAGGCCTTCCATGAGCCCTTCACAAAAGTACGAAGGAACTCATGGCTTTTGCGGGAAATGTGGGAAATGCTTCTCTCAGCTCATGGTGCTTGCAAAAAATATACGCCTGTGGCGTCAGGCCTATGGGCCCAGTGGGCCCAGTGGCCCTGGGCTGTAAGTCCGGCCTCCAGAACCTCGTGCGGAAACGCAAACTCCATGGAGGACGCAGTCTGCGCCGCCTTCACGTAGATCCCCCCCTGACGTCGGCACATGTTGGCGATCTGCCTGCCAGCCTCCATGGGGTTGCTGCTCATGGTGAAGGAGAATCCAATGGCCTCCGAACGACTGCAGAAAGTGAGTCTAACTTTTTGCCGGTGACCCAAAGGCAAAATGGTGGTTACAACGAATTGTTCAAGGAAGCCCCAAAACACCAAAAAAGAGATTGCAAAAACAAAACAAAATGTTCTTTTCTAGAAAATACAGGAAAACCCAAATAGGGAAAAAAGTTACAACGGGTCAAAAGCTTGCGCCTTTCTTTCTTTTTCTAGCCATGTCGCCACCACGGAGGCCCAGGTGCTCATGGACCTCCCGAGGCTGGAGAGCACCCCCAAGGCCTCGTCCCCAGAATCTGCATCTTCCTCCACGACCCACCTCTGCTTCCTGGCCTCTTCACGGGCACCTGGAGAGGAACCGCTCAAAAAATTGAAAACCAAGTCCTCCAGAGGTGGCTTCCTGGTTCTTAAAAAACCATCCAAAAGAGGCTCTAATTCCAAATGCTTAAAAAGAGTCAGGAGCATCTGGAAAATGATCCATTTGCCGTGCAGTCCCAAAATGACCATTTGCCGTTCAGCCCCCCATGTAGTAGTGAAAGTCATTTGTTTGTGGCTTCCCCCCAATGGTCATCCCATTTTCTTCGAACCTGTTGATCAACCCCACCTGGAGAGCCGGTAATGATCCCTCGCAACACTGCGGCCTCTTGCTGCATGCGCTGTTGCTCTCTGGCTTCAGCCTCTGCATCAGCCTTGGCTTGCACATCATCCGCGTGTTCTGCATCTGCCGCTGCCTTTCCCTTTTCTTCCTCCTCTGCCTTGCGCTGTTCCTCTGCTTCCTTTGCTCGTGTCTCCTCCTCAGCTTTCATCCTTGCTTGTTCCTCCTCTTCTTGCTGCTTTGCTCGTGCTGCTGCCTTTGCCTTCTCTTCCTCCTCCGCCTTGCGTTGTTCCTCTGCCTCCTTTGCTCGTGCCTCCACCTCAGCTTTTATTCTTGCTTGATTTTCCTCTTCTTGCTGCTTTGCTCTCCTTTCCTTTTCTTCCTCCTCTGCCTTGCGCTGTTCCTCTGCTTCCTTTGCTCGTGTCTCCTCCTCAGCTTTCATCCTTGCTTGTTCCTCCTCTTCTTGCTGCTTTGCTCGTGCTGCTGCCTTTGCCTTCTCTTCCTCCTCCGCCTTGCGTTGTTCCTCTGCCTCCTTTGCTCGTGCCTCCACCTCAGCTTTTATTCTTGCTTGATTTTCCTCTTCTTGCTGCTTTGCTCTTGCTGCTTCCTTCAGAGGTTCACCCAGGTTGGAATCTGCAATCACTGCCAAATAGCCTGCATGATCATTGGGCCTGTGCAAACGAAGCAGCTGCCCCAGCAACTCATCAGCCTCCTGCTCCCCTAGCTTGCTTCGGCACAGTCGACCGACTGCATTGTCTTTGGCAGACTCCACCCCTAGCTCAGGCGGCTTGGCTGGACTTGACGCTTCCTCCAAGTTCTCGAAATCAAACATGGCCACTATCAAATGGCTACGGTGCGCGGTGTGAACGGTGTGCGTGCAGCAGAAAGTCTCTGTACTTGCACAGTTGCCTAACCTTGCTGAGAGGTGTGATGTTGGAGAAAAACTTGGATGCTTCTCATACATACAGTGGTGCTTGAAGGCTCAAAAATCACAAGTGACAGTGCCCACTGCGCTATGCTGAAAGGCTCACCAACCATGCTGTGCGCGTGGCTATACATCTATCCTTCCGGCTCCAAAAGACTTCATGGTATAAATTATAAGCTTTGGACCAGCAGCGGGCATTGTTCCACTTTGGTGCGAACTTGAACCACGGGCATACATCGGATCCTTTTGTGCCGTGAAATCTCTGGTGCAGCATCGGCAGCCACAGTCCTCACGGGACACAGTGAGACGGACCATGGAATGCTAGCGACTTGCCTCAGCCTTCCATGCCACGGATCTAGGTTGCTTGGGCACAGGGAGCATTCGCCTGCTGTGCAAACATTAGCGGAACTATCTCACTAGGTCAAAAAGAGGAAACCTGGGAAAGCGAATCTTGCATTGCCAAGCGATTGGATCGGCTTCGACGTAGCTGAGACAGCTGCTGCCGGCGTTCCTCATCAAATGCCGACAGAATCCGCTGAGCGTCAGTCATCGCCATCTGCACATCCTTCGGCATTTTTGGCAATTGTTTGCGCGATCGTTGCCGCTGGAGCGACTGCATCTGAAGCTTGCGCTCCTCTTCGAAAAGTGACAAGCACTTCTCTGCTTCTGACAAGGCAGATTGCACTTCATCAATGCTGCAAAGCGCTGAAAACCGTTGAGATCCGATAGATAGCTTTCCAGTTTGCCCAAACGAATCCAAAGAAAGCTTGCCAGTCTGTCCGAAAGAGTCTACTCCAGACTGCGGAGAGCTGTCGATCTGCTCATAGAGCGTCCAGCTGTCTGTCACTTCAGGGGATTGTGCACCGCTGGCTTGATCCAAGGTCAGAAAACCCTTGCCATAGTTCGGGCTCTCTTCTGCCGCAATCCGCTCCAGTTGCGCAGGGGAGGCTCCTGCCTGGCGCCCTGCAAAAGCGGCTGCCTCGTGTTGCGCCGCCTCGCTCCACCCCGCAGCCCTGGCCGCCTGAGCGGCAGCCAGCACCGCCGCAGCCACCGCCAAGCGCTTTCCACCGCCGCCCTGCAGGACGCCAAAGGCGGCGGCAGAGCCAGCAGCGGTGCCCTGCCCTGAGTTGGGCCGCAAGTCCTTGCAGCTCTCCAGGCCTTGGTGGACTGCCTTTGCGAAGATCAGGGCCTCCTCCAGGTCACTCCCCCGGCTCCAAGGCTCACAGGCTTGTCTCAGCGCCGGCTCCGCCTGCGTCGCTGCCCGGGCCGCCAGCGCAGCGGCGCGCGGCCGCGCGGCGGCGCCCACGGCGGCGGCGGCCACAGCCGCGGCGGCCTTCGCGGCCTCGAAGACGTCGCCCACCCGCGCCGCAGCCTGGCCGACCACGAGGCACTGCTCCAAGAACGGCCCATCGGCGGCAGCCCAGGCGGCCTCCGCCGCAGACGCGGCCTTGTCGTCCGCATGGCGAGCCGCGTTGACTCCGGCCTGGACAGCCAAGGCTTCCTTCTCGGATCTTGCCTGTGCTCTGCTGAGAGAAACCTCCAGTCTGCCTCCACTTGCGGCATCAGGCCGCAATGCAGGCGCCTCCTCCTGACAGGGTCCTTCTATCTTCGGCTGAAGGGAAGGACAGGAACATCTCACTAAAGCACGTTGTTGTCTCTGCTTGTGGTTTTTCTAAATCCAAACTGAGAACAACGATCCTTTTTGAGATATTTTGGCACTCGTGTTTTCAAGTTATTTGGTGTGTCCATTCTCTCGCAAATATTGTGACCTGTCGCCGCTCAACAAGCGCCGGTTCGTCTCCCAAAGTCTATTTTGCCAGCGCCTTGGCTTGAGGTGCCTTCACGCGAATCACCACGTTCCCCTTGTGCGCCTTGTCCGGCGGCTTGGGGGAAATAGACTTTACTGAGACCCGAACCGCCCGCTTGGCTGGAAGCGTCTTTGCCGGCTGCGTAACTTGCTGTGTTGGTGCTTCTGGAGGTGTTGGTGCTTCTGGTGGTGGTGGTGCTTCTGGTGGTGTTGGTGGTGTGGGTGCTCCTGGCAATGTCGCAGTCCCTGCTGCTGCATCGACTGTTGCAGGTGCCTCAATCTTGGGCAGAGTGTAAGGGAAGTGCTCAACGTCTGATGGCACCGGCGTCGCTGAAACCTCTGCAGATTCAATTTCCGATCTGTCCTCTTTTGCTGAACTGATTTTCAGATTCGCCAACTTGGACAAGTACTGTCTCTTCAGGAAAAGCTCTGGTAGCACAACATCCTCTGGACGCTCCCACATGGTGTCGTGCGTTTCAGTGTTGAAGAAGTACTCCTGGTCGTTCTCATCGGTGGCCGCACACCACTTAGCGATCTCCACTTCTGCCTGATGGTCCCAGGTGCTGCCCCACATCGAAAGATGCTCAGCACGCTGGGACTGGGGAAGAGTCAAATGATGCCGAGCCATGCCTGCGAGCTCGTTCAAGACGTGGTTCAGTGGATGCTGCCAGGATGTGGCACCTGGATTCATGGCAACAAAGCCCCTCTGAACGGCTGGACAACAACGTGGCCGTTTCCCTTCTGGTGTATATTGTGTATTTGTATATTTGTGCGTACTACATATTGTTTAATTCATGATTCCCTTGTTCTGGCACCACCAGAACCCCGGCCCCTGGCACCCGTCCCCCAGCTCCGGCACCCATAAGGTATCGCTAAAACCAAACCCCACCAACACAACCACAACTCCTTTTTATCATGAACCAGCCAGGAACCCCTCCTGAACCCGGACCAAGCAACATTAAACGAATCCTTTCATCCGTAAACAAGCCAACCTGAAACCAAGCCTGCACCTCGTGCAAACTCCAAACCCTCCGTTACCCCCTCCTAAACCAACCATAAGGCAACCCTGTATCACCATCCCAGATCCAAAGTTTGTGGAACCAAGTCTGTACCCCCGCCCGGTCACTCCGAAACCAAGCTCCTAAACCAAACTCAAATCCAGCCTAAACCCACTCTAAACTAAATCAACCCTTTTCCAACCCTTGACCAACCATTTCTGGCGAGACGTAGGTAACAAATCTTCCTGCATCCCTTCCCCTCATGTTCACAAGCTTCTGATAATGTTGACCATGACTCGTTCCACATCTGCCCCTGCCTGTGGTCTTCTTCACGAAGAAGAAGCGGTTGTTCGCCTTGTCATGCCAGATCTTCCAAGGTGCTGGTAGTGGCGCTCGCTTCAGCACGCTTTGGAAGGAGTGCAACAGGTTCTCCTCTCCTGGGATATTGACAATTCCTTGAGTCGTCAAATAGTATTCCCAGTTGTCATCTAGGTGTGCAATCTCTGACAGTTTTTGTGAAGCTCTTCTCCTCCGAACTCTGTCCTCACTGTTATTGTCAGAAAAGGCTGACCATGAGGCTGTCGTCGATGAGGCACTGTCTTTGCGCTGCAACCTGCACTCTGCCAAATCTCGAATCATCCGATCTGATGGCTTCGACTCATGGCGAAGGCTCAGCTTCTTGAGGAACTGCTTCTTCAGGAAGAACGCAGGCAGAACAGCATCGACGGGGCGCTCCCACATCGCCTCCTTTGTGTCGACGTTGTAATAGTACTCTCTTCCATTGTCCATTGCGGTTTGCCATTTCAAGATCTCGGCTCGAGCTTCCGTCTCCCATGTCCGGTTCAGCGCCGCCAAATGCTCCGCCTTGATTGCGGCCGGCAATACCTGCACTCGCCGCCCCACATCTGCCAGCTCAACCAAGAGATGGTGCAGCGGGTGGCTCCATTTGGTCTCCAGAGTTGAGGAATTGGTGAAGAAGAAGGTCTTGCTGAGCTTGTCAAACCACATGGTCCATGGCGCTGGTAAAGGCGCGCCCGTGAGCACGGCCTGAAAAACCGCAAGCAGATCCTCCTCCTGCGCAGTGATCACCTCCTGACTCGTCAAGTAGTGCTGCCAGCTTTCGTCTGGGACTTGTGAGGCCGGGGAAGGTTTGCTTCGCAATCTGGTCGGCGACGCCTTGTGCCTTCTAACGCTATGTCCTGAGCTGAAAGCAGAGGTCAGGTGCTTCAGGAATTCCTTCTTCAAATAAAACGCAGGCAGTAGCGCATCTACTGGACGCTCCCACATTACCGCTTTGGAGTCAATGTGGTAGAAGTACTCTGTCTGCGCATCGTCGAATGCCGAATGCCATTTCATGATCTCCGCGCGAGCTTCATGCTCCCAGGTGCTGTTCAGGCTGGCCAAATACTCAGCCCTGCTCGCAGGGGGCATGTCTGCACATCTCCGACCGATACTTGCCAGCTCTAACAGCAAGTCTTGCAAGGGATGCGTCCACGAGGTCTCCCCAGTTGAAGAGTTCGTGAAGAAAAACGAGTTGTTACTGGTGTCGCACCACCTGGGTTGGTCTTAGACCCTACAAAAGTTGGACCGTTTTGCTGCCAGGGAACACTGTCATTGTCCAAAATGTGCAAAAGTTCAAGGCCACAAGGGCAACCAAGCCACATACTCCATGGAGCAGGCAGAGGCGATCCCCGCAACGTGGTTTCGAACACACGTAGCAGCTCCTCCTCTCCCGGCACAAAAAGCACGCCATGGCCCCGCAGGTATTCGCGCCAGCTCCACTCAAACATTCCACATGTTGGTGCGCTTGGACCTAAACCTTCCCGAACAAAGCCCGGATGCATGCTGTGCACCATCTGCAGATCACCCTGACTGAAGAATGGAAAGCAACATGAGCAGGACATGCAGCTGTTTTGCGTGTGTAAGCATGCATCAAGCTTTCAGTTAGTGTGAAACTAAGTCCCATGTCTGGCATCGTGCAGCTTTTGCAGCCCGCATGCCTCAGGACAAGGATGCAAAGCAAAAGACTTGCGAATCGGATTCTTCCCAGCCTCAGCATATTGCTGCACACAGGATTTGCGTCCCGCCTCATGACCAGCCAAATGTGGCCCACGACCCCGAACAAAGAGTGTTGACAGCACAACACATTTGATTGAACCTCAATCCCACTCCCAAGCAAACGCATTTAGTCACAAAATGCATTAAGGTATGACAAACATAGACATTGATATTATCTTGCTTGCTTGCCTACTTCTTCGGAGCTTGCAGCATAGTCTCCAATTGCTCCTGGTCCGTCAGATTCTGTCCCTATTCAAAGCGAGCCAAAGCTTGCGACATGCAAATACGGACCAAAATACGATGGCTCCATGTGCGTACTGTCCTTGCGTTGGGCATTCATTTTCTTTAAGATCTCCACCTACCGAGGCAGACCAGGTACGAGAGCGAGTGACAAAACTCGATAACTCCCCACACGGGGGGAAGCGCCTTCGTTCGGTTTCACTCAAACCATTGTTCCTCTTCCTCTTCGCATGATCAGCCACTGCAACAGCTTCTTAATCGAAGAATCTGAACAGTGCGGAAATGCCGTAGGCCTCCTCCTTGTGCTTCCGTTCTTCTTGCTCTCGCCTTTCTGCTTCATGCTTCTCGATTTGGGTGATCTTGTTCTCCAGCTCCTGCAGCACTTGGTTGCGGGATAAGCCAACGGGAAACTCAAATGCTCTGCCAAACAGGTGGTTGATCAGACTCCGATACAAATCCAACAAAAACAAACGGACCTCTAGAGCCAAAAGACAGGCCGGAAGGCTGTCAGAGCACCTCGACTTCGTCTCTGAGCTTCTTGTTCGCCACTTGCAGGTCCTCACAGATGCAGCAGCGTAACACTTGGCAGCCACAGGCAGCTGGAAACTCAAGCAATCACGGTAACAAGTAACAAACAGGGAACATGCCAGAAGTGTGACTTCTGGCCTCATTGTTAACATGTGCAGAGATGTATTGCTGTCTAGATTTGTGTTCAGTGGATGCAATGCAGTTCACTGGTTCAGGAATCCCCTTCGTTCGGCCAAGTCTAGTTTGTGTGAAGACAACTTTAGCCTCTTGTCAACATAAACATGGAGGCCGCAACAAGCTGTCATGGCAGTGTCAATGATTTCAGGCAAGCTGGTGACACAAAGGTCCAGCATGGCTGAGAAGAAGCAGGCTAGTGGCAAGCGCCGCAATGTCAATCCTTTGTCACACCTACAAAACCCAACGCGCCAACTCGCGTGTCGCAAGGAAGCGCCGGGCCATGGATTGTGAGCCGTTTGTCAACTGCTCGCTCAAGATAATCCGGTGGTTTAATACAGTAGGCAGTGTGAGCCAAACCGGCGAGGCGGCTTCCGCCTTCCTTTGCAATGTGCGCGTGTGTGTGTGGTGTCAATGAAAGCCCAACTACCTTGTGTTGTCAAAACAGTAAAAGAATATCAGCAGCTGCATAGACAACCGGAAACGGCGAGTTCATTTAAATGCATCCTCCCTTGACACCGTCCACGCACAGTCTGTGCTGCGTTAGATAAGCGTTGATATTGAGGCACTTGTCAAGCACTTACTCTACGAAACCCAACAAAACAAAACCGAACTCATTGTGACATGCACTCGCTTGCATGTCCAGTCTCGGCAAACCCAGGGTATGCTTCCTGCGGAATTCAAGATTCCCACCTAGATTACAGACAGTACCTCAAACCACAAGAGATTCCAACCCCACAGTCCTTCATCTTCTTATTGTGCTGATTTCGGCGCTGCTCTGCCTGCAGTGCCTGGGCCGCACAGCCAAAGCTTTTTTTGCTACTGCCTGGCCAGAACGCCTTGCGCATGCCGAACGCGATGGAGGATTCGTAGAGGCTCTGGTAAGCACAAATCGTCATCCTCCGAAAGCACGGCTCGCAACCGTCTGATCTGGCCAATGCCCACCTAATCTCGTCGCGGACGCGAAGAAGCAGCAGCCCTCTTTCAGCACAGATGATGGTTACCTGCAGTCTGCCCATATGGTACACACCTTCAGATTAACGTGGAACCCCATAATGTGTAGAGGAAACTCCTTTTGGACCACCCCTTTGTGGGTTCCATGTTCATTCGGGGAGCAAATGGCCAGAACCCGGGCCTGCCGGATCAGCTCGTCGAAGCATTGCGAGTACAACTCCTCACATATTTACACAATCGGAATATGTCTCAACGGGACCCGTTTTTTGGATGATGTCTAAAGGAAACCGAAAAGCAGTCACGGGTCCCAAATTTTGAGACGCTCACTGTTCAAGAATATTGATCATTGAAGTTGTGCCTTCTGAAAGGCTAGCAAACATTGCCCCCCGTGCTCGTCAAGATTTGGCTGCTTTCACAGTCACAAAGCACTCCTCTCGAATCGGGCAAATTCCCGTCTCGCGCGCCTGCCAAGGCATTCAACTCTGGCTACAAAGCTGAATTGCAGCACATCCAGCATATGCGTCTATGTGTGTGTGTGTGCGCGTTGTGCTTTTGATGGCAAAGCAACATGATAGGAGAGGATCGCCCCAAACACCTCTAAACTTATTGCTTGCCACTAAATGAAAATCCCGAAAGAGTTTAAATCCAATTACGGTTGAACAAGTCTCAAACCCACAAGCTGATGTGCATGTACAAGAAGCCTGGCGCTGCTGCAGCCATTTGTCGAGATCCTCCTGCAGGTTCACCACATCTGCGCCTCGCTTGGGCTACACTGTGTGCGGTAATTGCAAGAAAAGCCTTTGCAGGTTGTTTTAAATGAAAACCAAAAAAACGCCTCTTCGGGAAGAGCTATTCTGATGCATACCCGATTCCTGATGATTGTTTGAACTGAGCATCGTGCGCGTGGCCGGTGTGCTGGACACATACTGTACCTTGAGCGCCGGCTTTTTCTGTCAGCACACTTTGCAGGCAGCTAATGTGTTCAAATTGCCACTTTGGCGAGATTGGCACGTAATACTGGGTGAAATGGAAGAACCGAAGCGCACCCACAGCTGATCTTCTTGCGTCCACTCCCGCGGAGGAAGGATGGAGTTGAGAATGTCCTTTAATCAGTCCATCCCCGAGCGAACATTCTGGCCAAGCAAAATATTCGTTGTTGAATAGTGTACCTCAATCACGCATATAACAAGCTCTCGATGGTTCGCTACAGTCCTCGGTCTGAGACATGGCAGGCTGGGCATCTTTCTTCTTTTCCTGCATCAATACATTGGATCTTCGAGACAAATATCTGTTGCACATTGCTCATTGGGACTTAAAAGCAAAACTGATGATCACGCTGCTTGTGCCCTTTGGAATTGCCAACTGATCACCTTCCCTCGAAACGGTGCGCTGTGTCCTTGTCTTTCTTGCCCTTTGCAGCACCTGTGGTGCTGATGAGAATGGGCGTATTGTACCTGCAAAGTCAAACTGTGCGAACCAACCATCAAGCTCTATGTCGAAAAACCTGAAAACTAACAGAATCTTCAAGATTTGGCAGATGCGCACTTCACCAGCGACGCCTGCATCGTGGCCTCTGCAGTGATTCACACAAACCGATAGCCAGGATGAATGCAAATGATCGACAACTCCAATTGCTCACGTTCTGAGGTGCTGAGGCGCCTGCTTGCAAATAATTTGACAGCTGCAGTTCAACCAAACAGCTTCGTGTCAAATCT